TTCATTTCAAGGGGCAAGGGGAAGGGGTGAGGGGTAGGCAAAGGGGTAGAAAATAGAATTGGGATTGGGCCTATATATCTTGTCCTTACTATTTGGTCATAGTATATCAGCAATAGATAACCACATTGTCACTGCATTTCAGCATGTTTTACTGTGAGTTCTGTTGAGACGGTCTCACACTCCACAGACCCCCCCCATGGAGCTTCCCTTTGGATTGTAGGAACTGTCATGGCTGCCCTGCTGTTCACAGTGCTGCTGGCTGCCGCTGTGTATTTCACCCTAAAACAGTATGTACGCTTCAATATGAGATAATCTGAAGGCCAGCGGTGTATTTTTACACAGATGTTAATCCCAAGTCAACCATTAACATGTAAACCAGGTTAGTCATGCATATCCTGGGGCAAGGTGCAGTCAGATGTCCAGTGAGCCCCCTCAGTTCACCTGTTACTTGTTTCCAAATCTTATGTAAGAGCTTCCTTTTCTCTTACAATATAAACAAACTCAGACCCTCCAGTCCTCAGTTGCAGCTCCTCCATAACCCAACCTGTTTTTGGTTTTTAAGCAAACACCTCTCCTCATCCAGGCCACTGTTTTTTTTCCTCAAGTCTGTTTTGTTAACCCAATCTCCACCTCGGTCAACATAAAGTCCCCATTTCCTGCTCTACTCCCCACATCATGTGGTCCTGTCTGCAGGATGATTATGAAACACACAGGATGAGCTGCCATCTGAAAAACATATAAAAATAAATACAAATAGACCATATGATCCATATAAATATGAGAGTTAAAAGAGAAATTCACATTCTAACAGTAAACATGGTTGCCGTAGCAATGATTTGGTCTTACAAGAACACAGAAGTGATTAAAACATTGGATATATGCTACTAATATGCTGACTTTACCATTTCATTTTTCCACAGTGCCCGGAAAACGACCAGCGCAAGAAGCCGTAAGTCACAGCTGATCTTATTGTCTCACTGTGTTGTTGCCACAAATCCACTTCTCTAAAAAATAAATCAGGAAACATGGCTTGTCAGTCTGCTTGACTCATTCCGTTTCAGGCCCAGATCAGACCACCAATGATCAAGATAAGGTACGTATCTAGGTTGTGGCATCTTAAATTAAGTTGGGTGAAAATATAAAAGAAAACTTTCAAAACCCAAAAACACTGGAAAATCTCAAAAATATGGTGAGCTAACAGTATTGAGCTGTTATTACTATTTAGTAAGATAGTTTTGTTGCTCTTTGCTAGTGTTGGTAGCTGACCTTAATGATACTGCTAGCTAGGGTTACCACCTAATCTGTGTCAGAAAGGACACTTTGAGCTACTTCAGATTTTACAAACTTCTTTAAAACTGAAAGGCTCCTATGCTTGGCAAAATAGTTCAATTCTTCTTGTGCTCTGATTGTTTCTTTCCTTGACTGAAAGTCTCATCCAGCTGTTTCACATTAACATTAGTGGCACATGCATGATTATAGGAGACTGACCAATCAGCACCCTGCAAAAACTCTCTTGGTGCTTAAGTGAAATCCAGGTCCTTTTGATTGAAATGCCAGTTTACTAATCCTGTCCTAAATCAAAGTGTCCTTTCTGAGATGGAATAGGTGGTAACCTTACTGCTAGCTCACCTAGCACTACTGAGCTAGCTAATGTGAGAGCTCATCCGAGATGGACGCCATTGATGTTCACATCCGGTCACATTGTCAGGAACATGAGCGCCATGAGTTCTGCACAGTGATATGGTTGGTGTGTGGAGTTTGGTAGAAGTTAAATAGTTCCTACATTAAACTGCTCACTATAAAGTCTGTGGATTATCTTTAGTTACCAGGTCATGACTTCTGGAAAAACACTCTGTTTTGCTGTTGAATTTTTCAAATGAATATTTTGGTGCTTTAATCACTAGAGATTATTTTTCTGAGAAGACATTCAATTAGGCAACTCTCACCCTAACAATCTAGATGGATAAATAGAGTAACAATTTTTTTTTTATTTTGGGGTGAACTGCCCCTTTAATAGAGGTGTATGTTTCTGTTAAATGTTAGCTAGTATGCCGTGTTTCCAGTAGTGATGGCCGAATGAAGCTTCATGAACCATTTGCTGTATCCTCTGACACCACTTCATGGTGCTCTTGGTTTGTGTTGCGGCTTGCTTTGCCCATTTTTGAACAGTAAGTACCATCCTGTGGGATTAGAAAATAGAGAAAATGGTTCATGAAGCTACATTTGGCCATCAGTAGTTTCCAGTGGATTGTGGTCACTATCCATTTTTCCAGTCTGCAAGCAAAATGTCCCGGTTTGGTATTAAGGGTGCTGCACGTGGACCCCAATTGCTTTATGGTTATTTATTTATGGATGTTTTTTTCTGAACTTTTCTAATTAGCAACGAATTGTATTTTTCCCAGGATTTAAACTATGCAGAAATAGGTTTCTTCAGGAAAGCAGGCAGCACGAAGGTTCCCCAGTCCAAACCAGATGTAGAGTATGGAGAAGTGATCTTTCCTAGCCGAGTGTCAAGTGCCCATTCTCCTGTACGCCAACCGAACGTGGACAGGGACACGACTTACGCTGAAGTCAAGAGGGCCTAACCGCTCTGGACTGAGCCCATGATGTCTTTCAATGAGCTAAGAAGTTCAGAGTTGAGGGGACCCTGTCAACAGCCCTGTGAGCTGAGCAGGAAACATCATTAGGAGGAGAAGGTAGAGCAGCCCTGCCAGGCACGCACTGCAGGGGGGGGGGGAGTTGGGGGATGTGACTTTCATCAATCCGACGCTTCATTACACGTGACATTGGTTCATTAATTAAAGTGTTCTATTAACTGCAAGATGTTGCTGTTGTTCGCTTGTGCCCCTATTGCTGATAGACAGGGCCAGCAAGCTACATGTTTCCTGGTTTGGCCTGCATGTGGTATGATAATACCAGTGAATAAATGCTGTGCAGAACAGACTGGTGTGTTCTGTCGCCTATTTACACCCTTTTGTCACATTCTCAGCTACATACATACACGCAAGCAGCTCATTTGCATACTGCAAACCAGTGGTCTGGCAGTGAAAGACACCCCCACTCCAAACTGCATGTTCACATAGCAGTTACAGCACTCATTATCCTCATAATAGTCTCTAAGTAATTCACCTGAAGTATCCTAAAACATACCCAGCAGCTGAACAGAGGGTCACACATCTTCAGGGATGGGGGATTGAATCCTGCCCCCATCTGTGTGTGTTTGGGTAAAGTTGCATGTTCTTCCTGTCTAGCTTTCTATTGGATACTTTGATTTCCTCCCACTTTCTAAAAACCTGCTCCCTAATTGTCCATTGTGTTGCCTGTGTTGGACTGGCATTGCTTACAGGGTGTCTCCTACATTGTGCTTCACTCACCTGGAAGGAA